ATTTCAAAACGTCAGGCAAATAAATGCATTTTCGCAGCGATCGAGTCTTCTTCTTATCACATTTCCTTCCATCATCTTTTTGTGCAATTATTTCGGGATTTTGATTACGACGAGGTTTGCATCATTCTTGGAATGTTGGTAAAGAGTGACTTTTCAGTTACTTCAGTCGGTGGTGCATAAATAAGGATTAGGTTCTGCAGGTTTATCAAACACTTCAGATACTTCTTGAAACAGTTTATTTCAACAATGCGTTTTTACACATTATTTTAGGCGGCTGTTTGTTTGGAATACGGTTTTAGAATCACCTAAGAAGATCAATTCATTGCCAAGAAAAATAAACGTCCACGACGAAAGCCCAAATGAATACACCTAGAGTAATTGAAGAACTTTCTTTATCAGGATATATTTAAAAAAAGCGCTGTAGTTAGATACTTCGACGTAAAAATACATATGTAGTTTATTTTTTTAAGGTAAAGTCAAGGTCCAAATATGAAACTTTGACCAGTTTTTTGGCTTCCCTAAAAATTTGGGATACATCGTCTTATTTATACCGGAATAGTTCTCACTATATACATTAAGGTCGGGCCTGATGGCTAGATGGTTAGGGCGTTTGCCCCTAGCCGAAGAGACGCAGGTTCGAAGTAAGCACTCAATTGTTGACAAACACATTTAAGTTCGAACACTATTCCAGCGCGTTCAAACACACTGTAGCGATGACGACGTGAAAAGAGTGAAGGCAAAATGCCTTTATTTCTTGTTCAGATCTAACGGTTATTCCCACTTCTTTATACGTAAGTGCCGATGAATGCCCATCCGGTAGCGGCCGAACGACGAAAAAACTATGTTTTGTCTCGCCGGATTTTTCGGATGCAACAATTTGACGCTTGAACACTTTCGGAATAAGTGTGGCCCATAAACCGGATGAGACTATCCGACAGGAGATAATGAGGCCCAAGGACCCGCTTCCGGCAACGAAACAATCAGCAGTGGTCTAAAACATACCGTGCCAAAACTGCTGTGCAAGGTATGTTGTTGAAACGGCTAAACGCCTCTGCATCAGACTGCATCACCGAATTCTTGTATGACACGCAGGCCCAGATTACATTTGACTCCTGATATAAACGACATGAGGATTTATTCTCTGTCGATCTGGCTGCCCAAGAAGACGCATGGAAGGTACGACTCCACCTTCGCAAACTGGGTCCTGCCGAGCACGAACGCTACACGAACTTCATTTTG